CCTTTTGTGTTAGAGGACTATGAGGTGGTGATCCCCACTAAAGCTTTTCTGCTAAGAGTCTATTTTTCTTTTTAGGTCTAGCAACTTCACAGTTTGAACAACAGTAGCTGAAAAGCTAAGATTCATTTTAGGGTGGTAACTAAATGATAGATAAATGGACATGGTATAGGATTGTAAAAATCTTTTAAAGATGGAGAATTCCTGTTGAGTTATCAGAGTGCTGAGGAACAATGTAGCTGTTCATCCACTCTTATTGATTTACTGTTCTCTGATAAGGTTTACGTGGTGCAATTCCCTATGCCCTCAGCCTCCACTTGGGCTTGGAACCAATAGAGAAGCGGCAGCTCATTGGGACAACAACAATCATCATAGTACTGTTCACGATTTTGTTGCTGGGAGGAGGAACCATGCCCCTCATAAGACTGATTGACATTGAGGACTCCAAAGCACGCAAGAGGAACAAGAAGGACATTAATCTTAGCAAGACAGAGAAGATGGTTGGTTTGAGTTTTTTATTCAGAGGATCACTCTTTGTTTTTTTTTAATTTTTCCATTTTCCAAGACTAGTACATTATTTTTCACTAAAAAGTAAAATAAAAGCAATGGAAAAAGCCAAGGTGGTAGGAAAAAGCCAAGCAATATAATTTTAAAATATCCCAAAGACAGAGCGTGGTTAGTGTTTACACAAAATAACTGGACAGAGAGAGGAGAAATAGTCTCTTAACTCAATCTAATTATAAATTGATCCATACAAATTAAGGTAACCCCTGGCAAAAGCATAAAGCAGATGATACAGGCTTGAGTCATATACAGAGGGAAAGTAGCTAGTACAGCGTGAGTCATGAATTAATCATAAAAGGCAGATGGGAATTATTTTGAAAAAGTCGAAGCAAAGGCCATGAGAAGGTGGTAACAACAGCACCCCTCTGACTAGGTTTTATTTTAAAGCAATTTCTGGCTAAGCAAGAGTACTGAAGAAAACTAACAGCCAGACTGAAACCTCGTGTGCAAAAGGCTGGAGTACATGAAGTATCCCAGAGCATTTGCCTGTTTTTCCCCAAACCATCAAACAATACATGCAGGTTATTGTTCTGTAGGATCTGAAGAACAGCTCCTCTTGGCATGAGGTTTCAAAAAGCTTGCAGTCTTCAGAATTATCTTATTCTGTCCATGTAGGGAGGTGTGTTTAGGAAGAGCACAGGGATAGGGTGTGTTCTGATACAAGCCTTGTTTACAGTGAGACAATTACACTAGTGTTGCTGGCTGGATAAAATCATTGTCCAGTTCACAAGAGAGAACCTGCAAACTAGAAATCTGTTCTCAGCAATAGTAACAATACAACATATGGAATGTTGGAGGTCTTTTACCTTTCAGCATGAACAGGGAAGCTAAGTGGCTCTGGGAATCAACAGTTGGACAGATTCGTATAGCCATAAGCCCTGGTAGGCTGGGGTGATAATTTCCATGTTGTTCCAGCATGGGAATTGGTTGTGAGATGGGAGAGCACAGAGCAGGGGGCTGAAGCAAGCTGAAGGGATGACTGCCACATTTCTCAGGTTATTCCAATATTTGTGATCTTTCTAGGGAAATACCATAGAATCCGAGCATTTATCAGAGCTCACAGAGGAGGAGTATGAAGCCCAGTACATAAAACGCCAGGACCTCAAAGGGTTTATGTGGTTTGATGCCAAGTATTTGAATCCTTTCTTTACCAGAAGACTCACACAAGAAGTAAGTCTTTCTTTTTTTTCTTGAAGAAAAGAAACTGTGGTAGAGTTGGTTGTCATTTCACTCTGTACTATTCAAAGCTTGTAGTGTAGCCATGCAGCTTCTACATTAGGAACAGTGAGCCATCTAATACATTACTTGTGCATATGTAGAGCAGCTGTAATGAAAAGCTGCACTGTAAATTTGCAGGTTGTATTAAACGAGCATCTCTCAGGGCTACCACAATTAAACTTTAAAAGGTGTATGGATTTATTGAACTCACCTTTAATCTTGCAGAGTATCATGGGGAGTATCAGGAGTTACTAGTTACTACTGTTGCTAGAAAAAGCTGCTGCCACTCATGCAGAGTTTTTTTTAAAGTGCTGTTGCACAAAATTGCTGCCTTTTACTGTACATGGCGTTGTGAATTCCGGAGTTGTGATTTTTCTGCGGAGTGCAGTCTTTATCTTGGAAATATGCTCCAGAATTGCAACCTTCACTTTTAAGTCTTCTTCACTGGGAGACCAAGACTTTGAAGCTGTAACTGCAAAATGACACCTGACTGAACATGTAACTTAACACTGAGTGGCTCTGAGAGGTGTAAATACTATGCCATTTTCACTCCACGCCTCAGAAACCTGAGACTCCTTGGTTGTATAATTCACTGTTTTTCCAGTTTGCCATAAAATTAAGCATGTTTGCTGTGGAGTTGATCATTTTGTGTAAAGCATGCACATTCCATCTTCCTAGCCTGCACAAACACACTATTTTTCCTCTTGTTTTGTACTGTTCTTTTCAAAAGAATGCTTTCAGCAAAACCAAAAAGGAATCAAGAAACCAAAGTAAGCATCTGATTCATAGTTGGTAGCCAAAAGCACAGGCTGCCATCCAGATTGCAACCAAAGGTTAGAAAAATAAGTATGTGAATCACCAAAGCAGGGCACAAGCTTCCCACTGTCCCTGGGAACACATAGAGAGGAGTGAGATTCAAAGCCAGGCCATCCAGATAGCATGAGGAATGCTGAAACCCACAGAGCAG